GCGTCCTCGTAGATGTTGGGTCCTGGAGGAGGAGGAGAAGGGAAAAAAAAAAAAACAGGTTTTTATTTCACTGCTCTGATTGGTCCAGGTCACGACCTGCTGGTGCTAACTCAGAGTCAGAGACGGCCCCCGGCAAAGTCAGGGCTGACATTTAGTCAGAATCTCAGGACACTGCAGTCATCACTGGTGACGGAGCAGGAAAATATGTTCATCCACAAACTGACAGACGTTTAGGACAGAGCTGAACCCCCGGGGGGGGGGAGAAGACCAATCACAGAAGAAGTCACTGTGTGGAACAAGAGGACCACACCACAGAAATATATATATATATATATAAATATATATATATATATATAAATATATATATATATATATATAAGAGGAGCACACCATAGAATGTATTCAAAAATTGAAATTTTTGAATACAAACATTTCTGCATTTAAATGTGAGTTCTTTTGTAAGACGTTCTCTGATTCTGTTCAAGAACCTTCATCTTAAAACACTGTGAAAACCACGGCCTGTCGTTGGTGACATCACTTCCTTGTGACATCACTTCCTTGTGTCCGTGGACGACCACAGGTAATGACTCGTCTTCTCTGTGATCGATTTTGTTTTTCGGCCTCTTTGTGTTTGTGTTTCTGTACAAATCCGTTTCCTCACCCGTCCATCTGTCTCACCCGTGACTTCACGCTCTCTCCCTTTAATTACACATTAGAACAACGTCAAATCAAAGCGGCGGGAGCGGCGGTCGGCGGACGCCACCGTTACCTGTGTACTCCGGGAAGCAGATGCTGAGCGCAGACTTCTTGATCTTCTCTGCGAACAGATCCTTCTTGTTGAGGAAGAGGATGATGGAAGTGTCGATGAAGAACTTGTTGTTGCAGATGGAGTCGAACAGCATCAGGGACTCGTGCATGCGATTCTGTGATTGGAGGAAGAGAGAAAAAAAAAAGGAAAACGTTAAAAAACGAGGGGAGGAGAAGTCGGAGGAGGAGAGGTGACAGGAACAGATGGAAGAAGTTTGAAAAGAACGAGACGACGCTGAACAGTAGGAGTCGTACAGACAAGTCCAGGTCACGTGGCACTGATTTAATGACACGTAAACACGAACAGGAAAGAACTTGTTGACGTCGACTCATAAAAGTCGTGCAGCAAGTTCTGTAAGTCGCTGACTATTCTACGCATAAACAAATATTTCTCCTCTTTCTCTCGGCTGCACGAGTTCATTCATGCATTTTTTTTTTAATTCCTGCCTTCAATATCTCTTTTTCCCCAAAAGCATTTGTTTGCAAAACTAAAAGATTAGTGATTCATAAGAGTCATAAACAAGTCTCATTTAAATCAAACCTGGGGCCATTTCTCCTGGAGCAGAGAAAGGACCTTTGGTTCCTGAATGCACCGCTGATTAAAAACAGAAGAAGACGCAACAAACCAAGGATCAGGAGGAGGGACGACTCTTTAGACCAGTGTTTCCCAAATACCGGGTCACGACCCTCAGGCGGGTCGCAAGAGTTTTTTTTTTTTTTTTGGTCATCTCGCATCATGTTTCTTAGGAGTTTAAGAATTCTACTGTCTGCTGACTTGGGGTCACGAAGGTTTGTGACTTTTAAAATACGGGTCCCAAGAGGGACGACTGTGGTCCAGTCCTGGTTTCACACTCCTCTCTGTGGACCATTAATGGTTCGTCTTACTAATAATGCACAGGTTATTTCTGGAAACATCCAAATTTGTGCTCCAGGAAAAAACTCTAAACGTGAAGTCTCCTCAGACTTCCTCTCTGCCTCAACAACTCTCGACAACCCGAGGTCGGACGAGCCGCAGGGGACAGGTGTGTTTCAAAATCCACTCAAGAATTTAACAGCCGTCCTCAACCAGAGGAGAAATACACCACCTGGCTGTGAACCCCCCCCCCTCAACCCCCCCACCTCGGTGTTTAACTACTTCATGACAGTAACGTCTTCTTCAGTACGAACCCAAACATGAACAGAATTCGTCTTAAACTTACACACAAAAAAAAATCCAGTTTCGTGGCATCATAAATCACTAAACACAAGAAACAGAACAACACTGACGCTGTGAGTGACAGACGTAAAGGTGTCGTCGGCATAACGTATGACTGGACTTCAGGCCGTGTCATGTTTCTGTCAATAAAACATAAAAATTTTGAAATTAATTTGATTTGTTGTTATGTATGACTGGACTTCAGGCCGTATAAACATAAACATTTTGAAATTAATTTGATTTGTTGTTAGAAAAAAAAAATCTTAAATTTAAAAAAAAAAAAAATTCTGTTAATTTTGAGTTAGCTTAAACTCTGGCTTAAACTCTGCGTTTCACACCAACGTTGCTCCCTAGCCGTCACCCGGCCCCCAGTGGGTGTTAGTTGTGACATCCTTAGAGACCGTGGCTATATTTGGCGATCACGTCTGGTCCTCTGGGACCTGGGATTCTTTAGCGCTCGCCCTTGGCTGATTAAGGCCCACTGCTGGACAATAGGTGTATAACACGCCGGGGCCAGGTATAATAGCCGGGGCCCCGGGGTCCATGGAAATCAATGCCTGACTGAACCATTATCTGGGTGAAGTCAGGTTGAGTCAGCGCGGTGGCTCAGGGTCTCGGAGGATTTGAGTGGGCGCACACATCGAGCGACATTAAAACAACCTCGAAAATCAATGGTGAAATATAACCAGAGGGGACGATGAACAAAGAGACCCCCCCGACCCCCCTGCCCCCCCCACTCACACAATATTAATAACTAGAGTCAAAGCTCAACAAAGAGTTTTCCCTCCTTTCACTTCAATCCCAGTCATTCATGGACGAACAGAGGAACGGCCAGAGGGCTAGCTTGTTGTTGAAAAGACGCTAAAGTTAAAGACGTGGAAGACAGTGTGTGTGTGTGTGAACAGATCTGCTAAACCAACACACACCAACGACTGCATGTACATTATGTACACAGTTGCCTCAGGAATTTTAATTACCGCGTTTTCCGGAATATAGGTCACATCAGTGCCCCCTAGTGGCTATGAGTGAGTAAATAACAAACGTGAAATTATATATTTTAATAGAAATCAAATCAATAAAGCTGTAAATAACATGGACCAGATGTTTGTCTTTTATTGCAAAAAAATAAGTAAAAACTCAAAACAACAACATCCAACATTTTTTTATTTACTTTTTTTTATCAGCAACTTTTTGAACAACTGTAAACTAACCAACTAACTGTAAAACTGTGGAAGCCTCCAGTCACAGCAACGACAGAATTCTCCTGGACTTTATATAATACTTATGAAAATGTGGAGTCGTATTTTCTCTTGATATATACAGTATATACAGTATATAGTTTATATATATATAAACTATATACTGTATATACAGTATGTATACTGTATATAGTGTGTATATGTATAAAGTATACATATATTTATATATATACATACGTATAGTGTATATATCTATACAGTATATATATAAATATATATACTGTATATATATATACAGTATATATATTTATATATATACTGTATAGATATATACACTATACGTATGTATATATATAAATATATGTATACTTTATACATATACACACTATATACAGTATACATACTGTATATACAGTATATAGTTTATATATATATAAACTATATACTGTATATACAGTATGTATACTGTATATAGTGTGTATATGTATAAAGTATACATATATTTATATATTTATATATATACATACGTATAGTGTATATATCTATACAGTATATATATAAATATATATACTGTATATATATATACAGTATATATATTTATATATATACTGTATAGATATATATAATTTTAAATCTCAAGTCACAATGACTTTTTTTTTTTTTTTGGAGCTGCAGAACCAGCTTCCTGTGATGTCATCATCATCATCATCATCGTCTTTAGTTACGCCTAATAACTGGACTCCACCTGAAACATCAGGCGTTGACGTTTACGTATTCGTACAGTTTTGAAATCATTACTGTGACAGGCTGCTGCTCCTAAATACAGGTCAGACGTGTTTTCTATCTGACGACACGTGACGACACGTGACATCATCATCAGGAGAGGCCGCAGGTGACCAGATTTGAAGATATGATGACGTCAGTGACGGCGGCGAAAACGATGTTGATGTTCTTGGTGTCTGTGGCGCAGGTGACGTGGGAGTAGACGTATTTGCCGGGCGTCCTGTCCTTGCTCTCGTACACGGTCCTGATGTAGGCGATGGCGTCTGCGTAGGTGTTTGGACCTGAGGAGACAGATGACAGATGGTGAGGCTGCGAGGAGGAGCTGCCATCTGAACCGTGGCGTCAGCGGACTCTACCTCATTTTCTTCATCAGCGGGAGTTTTCAGACTGTTTTTTTTTTTTTTTTTGTGAATTCTGAGCTCAGCAGACTTCGTGCTGACGTGGTCTCTGAGCTGCACAGAGGAACCAGCCAGGACTGAATAATACAGCGGTCCCTCGTCTAACGCAGGGGTCAAGTGCCAAGATGATAGGCAAAAAATTGTAGGGCGTGAAATATGACAAAAATCGTTTGTGCCGTGGCCCACTGGTGTGCCGTGAAAATGATCCAATTTCTCTTAATTGATCCAAAAACTATTATTTCTTTATTTATTGCATATCATTTTTCTTGGCTCGTCAAAGCATGAAAGGCGGAACAATTCAATCATCTTCTGCTAGGGGGCAGCAGATGGCTATGACAACTAAATAAAAAGATATTCATTGTTGTTGAAGAAGTTCTTTCTTCAATTCCTGCCAGTATATCAGTGTTGTCTTCAACTGAACAAGTGTATTTTAATTCATTCATTTATTTATTTATTTTTTACTGTTTTTTTTTTCTTAGGCTAGAAAATGCTTATTTTTTCACCAAAACAATGAAAATATTGGAAATTTATTTTTTTATATTTTTTTGTATATATACATTTTTATATACCACAAAAACCCAATACAAAAAATAAACTGTGGTTTAATATTTTAAATGGGTTCTTGTTTTAAATTCAAATCCAGTGTTTACTTTTAGACACATACGAACTGCTGATACACACTCTACTAGTTTAGATCACTAAGTTAGTGGGAGTTAGTTATCGCGATAGTTCAAACTCTAATGAGAAAATCACTGTTTATATTTAATGGATTTTGGAGTTTGTTTTTCTGAGTTCACCTTTAAATATGTAGCCTTAGCATCAGCTGCTAGCATGGCTGCTATTGTACATATTTGACTCAGTGTGTGTGTGTGTACCGTTGTATTCTGGGAAGCAGGTGGACAGCGGCGTTCTGCTGATCTTCTTTTCAAACAGGTCATTCTTGTTCAGGAACAGGACGATGGCGGTGTCTTTGAACCACACGTTGTTGCAGATGGACTCGAACAGTTTCAGCGACTCCTGCATGCGGTTCTGCAGCAGAGACAACAGCGGTGTTTGAACGGGGCGACAGACACCGGTGTGTACTGGACTGACCGACAGGAAGGCATGCAGATAAAACACGGAGACAAAGTGTTTCCCAACCCGTGTGCCGTGGCCCACCGGTGTGCCGTGGAAAATGATCCAATTTCACTCAATTGATGCAAAAACTATTATTTGTTTTCTTTGCTCGTCAAAGCATGAAAGGCAGAACAATTCAATCCTCTTCTGCTAGGGGGCAGCAGATGGCTATGAAAAGTTCTGTTGAAGAAGATCTCTGTGAGTGTCTTTCTTCAATTCCTGATTTTATTACATGGACTTTTGGTCAGAGTTTTGTTTGGTGATGTGCTGTGGTTCAACAAAGGTTGGGAAACGCTGGTCCACTCCGATAAAAGACAAGTTCACGTCTGTAAATAAGTCAGGTCTGACAAGGTTATGTCAAAGGTCAGCCTGTGGTGTTATGGCCAGTAGGGGCCAGTGTAGTCATCACGTGATCTAAGGATCATAAATATTATGAATAAAATATGTTTTTCATTAATAATCAACACAGAATCAAATTAAATTTAAATATATAAATCAAATGTTGACATGTGGATATATATTAGATCCAGTCGTTAGCGCTACATGACTAATATATTTCAGGTAAAAGCTAACACGCTGTTGTATTGTCTTATGAACAAAGTAAACGTACAGTTTTTGTATGATGACAAAATACAAGTTTAAGAACTGAGCTGAAAGCTGTTTCTCTGGGGTTGACAGTTGACTGACAGTTGATTGACAGGTGACTGACAGTTGACTGACAGTTGATTGACAGGTGACTGACAGGTGACTGACAGACGGGTTTGAGAATGTACCCAGATTACAGTATTTCTCAGGTTGGATATACAGTAGATTCAGAGAAACTGCTTTCAACTCTGTGTCAAGGTAAAACCTGTCAGGACGTTTCCTACCTGTCAGTGGGCGGAGCTTCTGCAGAAGATCTGACTGCTGAGTGGTTAGAGAGCGACAGCAGGAGCGGAAGGAGCCAGAGATGCTGCAGGGCGGAGCTGAGAGCACGAACCGGAAATGCAAGGAGCACAAAAATCCTCCCGCAGCCCACTGCCCCGGTTTACAACTGCCCCCCCCCTGCCCCACTCCCCCCCGAAGACCCAGGAGGTGAGGAGAAAGAGTTTCACCCAGAGCTGTTAACATTTTCAGAGGTAAAAGACACAGACAGGCAGCGAAAAACAAAACGCAAGCACTTGAAGGCACAGTACTACAGTACTGCAGTACTACAGTACTACAGTACTACAGTACGAGTATTTGTTGTAATAGATGCTCAACTACAGTAAAGAGTAAAACCTTGAGTTTTGACCAGTGAAGTGAAACAGTCAATGAAAACCCGATGAAACTTAACGTTTCGTCAGACGTGGTCGTGGCGTCCAGAGACGTTTACCGCAGTTTTGGGGACAAACAGCTGCATCAGTCGATGTTGGAATCGGAAATTAAGTGTTTGAACAATATCAGCAGATCGATAGCAGCGTAAAGGTAACATCAGACACCCCTAGTGGACGTTACTCGTGCTCTCATTCATGCGATTTAGTCATTTTTTTTAGTCATTTAAAGATGTGATTTTTTTTCCAGAATATTCCTTTAACAGAGCTCACAGCCGACGCCGTCCACCAGCACCTGAACATCAGTGGATCAGAACCAAAGTCTAGTTCTGCTTTTTGTTTTTATCTCCCTCACGGCTGAGTCACATGGTGAAGCGTTCACTTTCATTTCCTGTTATTTTCCTGCAGAAGACGCCGTCATGACACGGTCACACAAAGACGTTTGTTTGTTTTGGATGATTCGTCTCCGTCTCCTCCACCCGACGGTGGCTGTGGAGCAGACGGGAGTCAGAACCCCCAGAACCCCCAGAACAACCGTCCTAACCATCGTCCAGTTTCAGCCAAAGAAAAAAAAAGTGAAAGCTTCTAAATGAACTGATCACCAGTGAAACTAAAGAAACCACTTCCTGTTTCTGAACGCCAGAATTACAGTGACCTTTGATGTGTATCACCAGACCGACACACACTGAGGTGAGTGTTAACTGATGGACTGTTTGTCTCTGTGTTTGGTTGGACACGTTGGTAACGAAGCTTCGCATAAAAAAAAAACAGCAGATGAAAAAATACGTAAACAGAAAAAGACGCCTTAAAGGCTGTTATTTTTATTTATAGGCAAAATGCTAACGGTGAAGCTAACGTAGGTTTCTGCAGGACTCTTTATTACAGTATCTATAAATGCTATTGTATTTTAGTGACAACAACGGAGACATAAATCAGTGACATTATCAAGTTCTAGTCAGGTACAAAACTGAAGAGATCTGAGGTTTTTTTAGAAATAAGTTTCTGTTTTTTAACAACATATAACTGGGCGGTCAGGCCTCACAGCAGTAGCTGAAATGCGTCAGTGACAGGAGCAGAGATTGGGTGAGTGTCAGTGAGGGAGGCAGACAGAGAGAGAGAGAGAGAGAGAGAGAGCTCGGGCGTGAACTCAGGCGTCCTTACCGTGGTCTCGTCCTCATGCAGCACCTGGTCGTATCCACTGAGCGCCACGCAGAAAATGATGGCTGTGACGTCCTCGAAACAGTGGATCCACTTCTTCCTCTCTGACCTCTGACCCCCCACGTCAAACAGCCTGCGGACCAATCAGAGACAGCGGGGAAACAAACGTGTTGGTTGGTTATGAATGAAACGACGTTGTCACCGTGCTGCAGGTGAAACGTGTCGCTGTTGTTACACCGACCGCTGCAGGAACACTGCAGTCTCACACACACACACACACACGCACACACACACAGCCTACACATTCGTACAGTAGGAACTTCCTGAGAAAACACTGACGACGGTTTGATAGAATTTTTACTCCTGGAACTAAAGTCAGAGTCAGAGAATCCCCGGCCGAGTTTTTTTTTTTGTCTGCAGTTGCGTAACCTTCTGTAGGCACACGCACACACACACACACACACACACACACGCACAGGCAGATACTGAGTGTAATTTAATTAGAGGTCGAGGTAAAACTCCTCCTCCGTCTCCAACCGTCCCACAACGTCTGCTCCGCTCTCATCGTCTCATCGTCTCTGATTGAATTAGAGCTCATTAAAGAGGAAGAGAATCAGAAACACAGACTGAGAGAGTGTTTAATCACTGCTGTAACCACGGACGAGGAGGAGGAGGAGGAGGAGACAGGACGAGGAGGAGGAGGAGGAGGAGACAGGTGGGACAGGTGGGACAGGTTTGACAGGTTGGTGCTGACCTGAAGTGGAGGTTTTTGAAGGTGAAGTGTGTCTCCACGATGCCCGTGGTCTTGACTCTGGTCCTCAGGATGTCCTGCTCTGTTGGCTGGTAGTCTGTTGCACCGATCCGATCTAGACTGTCCAGGTAGCTGCACACAGAAACACAGACGGTGAAACACTGGCAGTTTGTTCTCACGGACCACGGTCTGGACCGGACCGGACCGGACTGGACCGTTCTGACAGTTTAAACAGATTAGACTGATTAGGCACCAGAACCTTCAAAATAAACACATGTTCAGATCAGAAATAACCAATCAGGTGACACCAAGTCAGAGGTCAAATGGCCAGAAAATTGACCAGGGACGAGGAGAGGCTCATTCTTCAAATTGTACAGTCCGTTTACGGCCGGACCTCGTGGTCGTGCGTGCTTTTGGAATTATCACAGAACCTTGTGACATCGATTCCATTTCTGCATCAATCAGACGTTTTTACACAGGTGGGACAGGTTGGTGCTGACCTGAAGTGGAGGTTTTTGAAGGTGAAGTGTGTCTCCACGATGCCCGTGGTCTTGACTCTGGTCCTCAGGATGTCCTGCTCTGTTGGCTGGTAGTCTGTTGCACCGATCCGATCTAGACTGTCCAGGTAGCTGCACACAGAAACACAGACGGTGAAACACTGGCAGTTTGTTCTCACGGACCACGGTCTGGACCGGACCGGACCGGACTGGACCGTTCTGACAGTTTAAACAGATTAGACTGATTAGGCACCAGAACCTTCAAAATAAACACATGTTCAGATCAGAAATAACCAATCAGGTGACACCAGGTCAGAGGTCAAATGGCCAGAAAATTGACCAGGGACGAGGAGAGGCTCATTCTTCAAATTGTACAGTCCGTTTACGGCCGGACCTCGTGGTCGTGCGTGCTTTTGGAATTATCACAGAACCTCGTGACATCGATTCCATTTCTGCATCAATCAGACGTTTTTACCCAGAGCGACAGGAGGAGGAGGAAGAGGAGGAGGAAGAGGAAGAGGAAGAGGAGGAGGAACAGTCAGGCACGTGGTTCCTCTGGGAATCGAACCCAGGACTCACAGATCACATCATGAGGCACCAGCATCTAGAACACACCTAGTCCTGGGACCATGAATCGTAGCAGAACCAACAAACCCGTCCGTGGACGTCATCAATCCACTCCTCGCTCGCTCGCCCGCTCTCTCTCTGCGACCACTTCAACCACTTCCTGCTACTTTTTTATCGTCGTCGTCTCTTTTGTGTGTGTGCGATGAACGCGGTCGTGTTCTTTATAATGGAGGTCGAGTCGTGACCAGTGACCCAGTGCGTGAGGACGGCCGCGGGCGGTGAATCATCACGGACTGAAGCGTGTGGTCATTGTTGGAAACAGGTCGTCACATCTGCACAAAAATAAAGAGAAACCTCCGCGGCTTCAGGGGAGGATCTGAGAACAAAGCCACACACACCACAGCGCCATTACCTCCTGCCCCAGATGCATGATGGGAACACTTTCCCACCGGGCGATAAACGCTGTCACAGATTTCACTGGACGCTACAGGAAAAGACGGGGAGTTTAGTCTGTCGTCGACGGACGACCTGAGACGGGAACAAACTCACGTTTCATTCTTCTGTTTTGACAACAGTGATATTTACGTCTCGGTTCAACTGTTGTTGTTGTTGTGACGCTTCATGACGACTTCCTGCTCCACAAACAACTTTAGTCCGAGGTTCAAAACAGCTACAAACAGTGGAGCTAAAATGATTAAAAATCTTTTTGTTTTTCACGTCAAAGCAAATTCAGAATCCCGTGCCGTCCCTAACCACAGGAGGCGCCACTGAGACACGAGGCGTTAGAACCTGGGTGTCATGGAGGTTCACTGGTCCTGACACTGGTCAGTGCTGGTGCCAGAAAAAAAAAACAGAGGGGGGAATAAAAGAAGGTCTGAACAAAACCAGACAAACACCGACACACTGGTCCGACCATGTGATATGTGTCCTATCAGCTCATTGGCTGCTGGTTCAGCTCCGCTCCACAGGCCACAACATAATAGGAAGTGTGTATCAATCTTTAATGTGACATTTAAAGCACACACACACACACACACACACACACACACACAGCCCCTCCCAAACAGAGCGGATGTTGTTTGAAGTAATTGACCAGATGTAAATGTTGACAGGAGAGCGTTCTCTCTGAGAGCCTCCTCTTCATCACCGTCTTCATCACGTCTTCATCACCGTCTTCATCATCGTCTTCATCATCGTCTTCTTCACCGTCTTCTTCACCGTCTTCATCAGCGTCTTCTTCATCGTCTTCTTCATCGTCTTCATCACGTCTTCATCACGTCTTCATCATCTTCTTCTTCACCTTCATCTTTTTTCTCTCATCGTTTTCTTACTTAAAAAACAAAACAAAAAAACCTACCGGACTATACACGCCCTCTAGTGGCTGACAGTGTGATAATTACAAACGTGAAATTATATATTTGCAGCTGAGTATAAGAACGAACCCAGAAAAAGACGAAGAAAAGAGCGACTTATATTCTGGAAAATACGGTACGTGACGTCATTCTGTTCATTGTTTATTTCTAGGAAAATAAAACAATAATTCTCTCTGTTTTCCACTGCCTGGTGTGTGTGTGTGTGTGTGTGTGTGTGTGTGTGTGTTCTCCGACTGTGAACCTCCAACTAATTCATTCTGTAAATTTCACTGGATTTACTGTGTGAAATGATATTAAAGCTTTACAAGCAGAAACATGGCAGAGAGTAATGACCCCCCCCCACACT